TCAATAAAGTATATTAAAAAAAAATACGCATGTTTGACAAAGGATAATATCACTAATATAATGCAATGCTCTTAAGAAATTATTTTTAAAATAACAAAAAAAATGACAAACAGTACTAACAGGCAATTAAAATATATGGCTAGCCTCTAAATATTAAAAATTCAACCTCATAAGCAAATAAAATTTAAAACAAGATGATAGTTGGGAGCATTTGAGATCTTGCTCCCCTGCATATCTTGTTAGCTTGGTTCAAATGAACTCTAAAAAACAAAACAAAACAAAACAAAAAGCACACCAAGATGACAGTTTTGTGAGGTTTTCTGCTTATTAGACTAGTTAAGATGGAAAATAAATGCCAATTCCCAGCATGAATTTGTACAAACTTTCTAAAGAACATTTTGATATGTGTATCAATTGTTTAGGTTTACATTTTATATGAATCAGCATTTCTATTTCCAGAAATTATCCTAAGTAGATAACCAGACATATGTACAAGGATACCTCTATAAATAGGTTAATCTGTGAAAAGTTGGAAATACCCTAATTATCCAATAGTAGGAGGTTAGGTATCAAAGTCTGTCCATACAACAGGAAGCTATACACATTACAGTGAGATTTGCCTTTAGTAGATACAAAAAGTTACCCAAAACCCAGTGAATAAAAAAGGTTAGAGAACAAATATAAACCCAATTACATCCTATATAATAAAAGACTAATATGCAAATCGACCGAATGGCAGAACGACCAGTCGCTATGGCGGGCATTGACCACCAGGGGGCAGACGCTCAATGCAGGAGCTGCCCCCTGGTGGTCAGTGCGTTCCCACAGGGGGAGCGCCGCTCAGCCAGAAGCCCTGAGCTGGGCTCCTGCCCGCTTGGCTGTAGACAGCACCTGGGCCTCAGCTCCCTTACACTGGCCCTTCCTGCCCAAGGGGTATGATCTGCCCTGCCCGGTGTCCTTCCCCACCCGGCTCCCCTGTGCGATCTTAGTCCTGCTACCCACAAGCCAGATGCAAGGTCTGGTTAAGCCTGGGCAGAACTGAAGGAAATCAGACAAACTTTTCCAACTGCCAATGTGGCCTCCTCTCGGCACCGCCCTCTTCACCAATCCAGTCAGGCCACTTTCTTCACTGTTCCCCAAACAGTTCTGGCTTCTCTCCACCTCATACTTTCTCCTACCTAGTGCCCTCTCCACCCTTCCCTCAGTGACTCTTTTTAAAAAAAATTGATTTTTAGAGAGAGAGGAGGGAGAGGGATAGAGAGATAGAAACATCTATGGCTGCCTCCTGTAGGCCCCCAACTGAGGATAGAGCCCCCAGCCTGGGCATGTGCCCTGACTGGAATGGAGCCATGACCTCTGGGTTCCTGCGTCTATGCTAACTACTGAACAACACTGGCCAGGCCCCCTCAGTGACTCTTAAACCTTCACCTCCTCCATGATCTCAAAGAGTAGCAGGTGGAACCTGAGGTAAAAACACTAGAGATGCTTTGTGTGAAAGGGCCAGACAGGAGGTATTTTTGGCTTGTGGGTCCTGCAGTCTGGCACAACTATGGAACTCCATCACATGGCACAAAGCAGCCACAGACAACGTGAAAATGAATGAGTGTGGCTGTGTTCCAATAAAACTTCACTTACGGACACAGATTTGATTTTCATGTCATTTTCACAAGTCATGAAATATTCTTCTGGCTTTTTTTTTTTCCAACCACTTATAAATGTCAAGATCTGAGGCCAGCTGGGTTTGGCCCTCGGGTGGTAATTTGCTGGGATCTGACTGCTCTCTCCCAGGGATTTGCAGCTGGTGTCTCAGCAATAATTTTTAAAACATGCAATACCTGACTATTCAGTCAGGGGCCCTGACCTCTTTTCCCTTAGATTGCCAAACAAAAAATGACAACAGCCAACACAACAATAGCCCTCCAGTATGAATGAATCAAAATTATATCTATTATTTTTTGACAGATCGGCAAAAAATATATTTTTTGGTTGCAACAGAATTTCAGTAATTCGTTTATGTGTGCCATGAGATTCAAAAGTATGAAAAATCCCTGTCTATCCAGTTCAACAGCCTCTTTTTTGTGTGCCCTGACCAGGGATCAAACCTGTAACCTAGGCATGTCGTATCGGGACCACACTCCAACGAACTGAGCTACCAGTCAGGGTTCAGCCTCATTTTTAAGGGAGCCAAGCCAGGCGCTGAGAAGTTCCAAATAAATTGCCCAACATTAGTTAGCTGACACAGATATGACCAAAACCCAAATCCCCAGTTCCTGGCATTGATACAGGAGAACCACACAAGGCCATTTTTCTCTTTATACTACAAACCCACATAGTTGGTGCTTTGATTTGTTTTCTTGCTTCCTAATCTTAAATTGTCTTGTATTTCTTATGTCGGTCCTCTAGTGTCCTACCCTGAATCTAATATTTGTGTCTGCCCATAGTAAAATTCAGTACCAAGTTTATACTAAATAAAAATCCTATATAATAAAAGACTAATATGCAAATTGTCCCCTTGGGAGTTTGATGGGGAGATGGGGAGTTTGATCGCCTGCTATGACATGCACTGACCACCAGGGGGCAGGGTGGAACATGGAGGGTGACCAGCAGCAGTGGCTGAGCGTTGAGGGAGCAAAGGAAGGAGGAGGCCGGGGAGCTGGCAATCTGATCGGCCCTGATCGCCAGCCAGGCCTAGGGACCCTACCTGTGCATGAATTTTATGCACCGGACCTCTAGTGTCATTATATTTCCCTTGGGGGGGAGGGGCAGGGAGATCCATTGTGTCTCTTATAACATGTCAAATATTTAAAACCTCACTGGTTTGTGGGTGTTCTTTTTTAATCTCAGATATTAAATATCCACTTAGATTATGTGTGCTCAGGCATACATTTTATAAAGGTGATAATTTTAGGTTGGTATAAATGGTTTAAGTAATAATTAAAGGTATAAATTCTTAATAGGCTTTCTCTCATGTTAAAGTTTGAAGTGACTAGGTTTTCAACATTTGTACCCCAAAAGTTAAATTGCTTCATTGTCTTCCCCCTTCATTCCCTAGACTCTAGGGCCTAGAGATTAATGGCTTTTTTCCCTTACCATCATAATTAAACCCTTATGAATTTTTAGCCAGATGAAAATCTTCAGAACCCTAATGGGCTGGGAAATATTTTTTGGCCTCGGGAGAAAAAAAAAAAGAAACTAGTACCCAAACACCAGCTTAAAAAAAAACAAAACGCAAAGCTTTGACCGTTTCAACTTTTTAAAGGTCCGTGTTCCTGCTCTAACAGCAGGTAGTACCTACTCCGATGACGTCAGTGTTGTGGAGCCCATTTGTAACAGCCAGACATCCCCAAACAAAGGATTTGAATCATAAGACAGAAATTATATCCATTTTACTCTTTCAGGCCCTACTATTCCTTCTGAGCAACACACATGATAACTAAATCAGGATTACATATTTGAAACTCAACACAAATGTCTCCATGTACTGCAGATAGCAATGTTTTAAAAATTACTTTTTCTTTCTTCTCTCTTAAAATCCTAGACTTCCCATATAATCTTTGCAGATCATTTCCTAACAGACTAAATTTATAACACGTTTATGGGGCCAGGAGGATGTTCCCGGAGAAAAGAAGTTTTAGGAGCATTAGCTGAGATTACGGAAGAAGGAAAGGCAGGAAGTAAATGAAAGGACAATGCTACAGTCCCAAGATCACAATACTGGACCGAAATTGATGACAAAAGGTGAATTACAACACTTATTGTGCAGAACCAAAACTCATTTCCGTCTGGCATTTCACATATAGATATCAAAAGCTAGTGTGAGGATTCATTTGACCAGGCTACCGAAATTCTCTATGAAGCACCAAACCGAACTCGACCCCAAAGGCCAAAACCTCAGGTTTTTTACACATGAACATTCCAACCACTACATTCTGACCCGCAGAAAGCTGACCCCGTGGCACAAACGGAAAAACCAAGGTTCAATTCGCTCCAGTGTCCTCTGAAAAAAATGATCTCACTGGAAGGATGACAACAGAAGAGGGAGTGACCCTCTTGAGTATTTTGTGTACTACCCCCGCCCCCCCGCCAGCCTCCCAGGAACCACTAATTTTGTTTTTAAAAATCGTCCCTGTTTTTCCTACATTGCGAAAGGGAAAGGAACGAATTCAAAAGGCATGTCATTTCCAAAGCTCCTCCTCAGACTCAGTGCTGAGGCCTGCTTTTGTCCCCAAGTTCTCCAACCCCTGAGACACAGCTATTTCACGGCTGTCTTCTTAGCCCCACAAAATGGCTCCCTTTTGTGCCACTTGCTCAGGACCCCAGGGCTGGCCACACATGACTGCAGATGCCCATCGATGAAGAATAGATGCCCAGAAAAAGCGGAGGCTAAGCTCCCTCCGAGCCGTGAGCAAGGATCCGGGAGATCCCACCTCAGAGAGCAGCCCAGACAATGTGGGCATGTTCCACCGGATCCAAACCCTTCGGCCAAGTTAGGCAACCGCTTGGAAAAGGGTCCCGGCCCAAACCCGGCACCCAGTGCCCCTTCCCCAAATGCAGTGGCCTAAGTGGCCAGAAAGGCCCCGCTTCCCAAGTGGAAATAGTACACGGAAGAGACAATGGATGTCTCCGGCCCCGCCCAAGAACAGGAAACCTCCTCCTGCAAGGGAACTGGGGCCAGAGATGAACTCATTTAACAAACGTCAAAGAGGTGGGAGGCAAAGACCGAGGTCCGCAGGTTTGAGCACAGAAAACCCACTCGGACTGGCACACGCCCTCTCCCGTTCGCAGGTGGGCGCAGGAGGGGAAGGAGCGGGGGTCTTTCCTTTGTTAGCAGAAGGGAGGCACTTGGCAAGGGCTGGCTGACGGCTGGGTCCTGGAAAGGAAAGAGTTGGGGGTCGCGATGACCACCCTGCCTGCCCACCTATGCCACCTGCCAGACTGGCCCCAGTGGGGAGAAGCCCGCCGGACCCGCTGGCTGCGACCGCGGAATCTGATCGCCACGCAGATCGCACGGCCGCACCTGCCCCGAGCAAGTGACAGGAGCGCGTGGCCCGGGGGTGAGACAATGGGGCCTGGCTGAGACGCCCCTAAGCTGTCCGGGCACCCGGGGGCTAAGACCACCGCCCTGGGAACGGGTTGGCTCCGCTTAAAAGAGGAGGGCGCGAACCCTCTCGGTACAGCCCAACTTACAACCCGCGGCGCGTTAAGGGCGAGTCCCTGGCCCTCCCGGCCCCTCGCTCCCGGGCAGGAATGAATGAGAGGAGAGGGAGTCGGGCGGGGCAGCGTGCGGGGCTCGCGGGGAGACACAAAGGCGGGACTGGTAACTGAGCACCGCCGCCTGGCCAGACGCCCCGGGCACGTTACCGCCA